CTGAAACAAGAATAATGTCGGAGCTGCACAGAACATCATGTTTTCAATAAAAATGTCTGCTTATCACTAGTGTAAACCGATGCTGGATAAGGGGCTTGTGGCAAACCTAGCCACTTTTAGGTTACATGGCTGTATCTGCAAAGGTTGTCTGTATAAGCCGCTGGACTGTTGTATTGTAATGTATGCATGTACTGCTATATCCTAAAGCATTCGTATGCTAGCAGCCGAAAGCCGCTAGAATTCATGTGTTCGTTTCACGAACAGGGACTTTACCTGCTGTTCGTGAAACAAATGAGGTACCACCCAGGAGCCCACACACAGAGGGTCGTGTGGCACCCATTAACCGATTGCAACAATGTTGCAATCGGTAGTTAATTGCGTTGCTAGGTGGCCGTCGTTCGGCTACTGACTATGCGGCGGGTGGCCATCTTGGATCCTTTGTTTTTTCCTTTGAAATCAGCTACTCGAGGGCGTGAACACCGTTGGACTTCCAGGCCATTCGGGAGCTCCTGTCTTTCACTGTTATGGTTCCCCATCGGTGTTCAGTACTTTCAGGTGAACATAATATTAAAGTGTATTTCGTGCGGCGTTCGGTTATTCCTGCTGGGATCTGAGCGGTATTCTCACGAAAGGTGCACTCAGACCACATCTATCTACCGAACGTCCATTCGTTTAAGTGAATGATGGAAAAGTTATCTATTTTAATGTAAAAGGTTGGTTCTGCTGCATGGAGGGATAATCCACTTAACGGTATACTACAGTGGGAGTATCCCTCTCGTCCAGCAGTGCCTGATGGGAGAAATGTCCAGATTGTTAAATCCCCCATGTAGTCCCCTACTGTATAACCCCTGCAATGTCAGTAGGGAAACCCCTTGCATGGGGACTTGCATAAATACTGTGACTTGTGAATAAAAGCTTAGTTGACTCCCAGAACTGTGTTTCGTCTAGTTACTGGGGGATTTGGGATATTGCCTTACTTTTCAGCGCTTTACTTTGGATTACTTTCTGTACCAGCGGAGATCGTGGAATTTAATATTGCAGCTCCGCTACAATTGGTGGCAAGCGACGGGATCCAACCTTACAGCCGAAAAGCGGTGTTCGGATAAATTGAAACTACCGAACGGGAAAAGTGAATGGCAATTCAGATGCAGCAGAGAACTGAACACAGAGGTGAATGGAGATGGATTACACTGCATTAAAACGGCAGACGTTAAAGGAACTGCTGGAAGCCAGGGGGAAGATAGCCAGCAATAAGCCAAAAGCTGTGCTGATTGCCGAATTGATGGAGGGAGACAGAGGCCGCAGCGTTACACCCCCACCAGCCATGGAAGAAACCCTCTTCCAAAAGGAAATGAGAACCAGGATGGAATTTCTACCTCAGCCTGTACCCCTGGCAATATTGACAGTACTGATGGCGGATGTGCAGGAGTATGTGATGACACACCGTCCGCAGGATGCACCGTCCAGAGCAGAATCCATTACCGCCTCAGTCTCCAACCAGGTAAAGCCTAAGATCCCATACCATGCTTTGAAGATGTTTTGCAAGGAGAAAGACGAGATTGATGGGTATCTGCAAGATTTTGAGAGGCTCTGTGATCTGCATGATTTGGAGCAGGCAGTATGGGTACTGTTACTAGCGGGCAAACTGTCAGGTCGGGCAGCAGAAGCCTATCGGGCAGTACCCAGGGAGGACAGCAAAGAATATGCCAGGGTAAAACGGGCCATACTAGAACGATATGCCATTACCCCGGAGGCATACCGGCGCAAGTATAGAGGATTGCGCAAACCCGTGAAGGACTCTCACGCCGAGTGGGCCCACAAACTGGACCAAGCCTCCCAGGGGTGGATACAAGCTAGTCAAGCGACCACTATGGAGGAGTTACTGCAATTGATGCTGCTGGAACAATTTTTCAATGGTTTGTCTCCAGAGGCACAAGAATGGGTGAGAGACCGAAAACCCCTCACCCTAACCGAAGCGGCACGACTAGCCGACCAACATTACGATGCTAGGAGACGGTCACCTAAACAGAGGTTACCCTCGGCCCTCTCCGCTGTACCGTTAGTCTGGGGGTGGTAAGAGGATGAAAAAGACAATTCAATACCCATTTGCTTATTAAAAGTCCTCCAAAACCAGGATACAAACTGAGAACCTCTATCAGATACAATATTGTGAGGAATGCCATGCTGACGGACAATGTCAAGTATAAAGATCAGTACCAGGTCTTGAGATGATGGTAATTTCTTGAGAGGAATAAAATGAGCCATTTTAGAAAAACAGTCCAAAACCATGATAATGGTGGTATAACCATTAGAACTAGGAAGCTCAACAATGAAGTCCATGGACAAGTGGGACCATGGGATCTCAGGAATAGGAAGAGGTTGTAACAAGCCACAAGGGAGTTTATGAGGCACTTTGGAAACCGCACAAACAGAACAAGCCTGCACATATTCCTTAACATCCTTCCTGAGGGAATCTCAGCAGAATGACCTCATGATAGCAGAAGTGGATTTATTAATACCTGGGTGACCAGCAGACACATTGTTGTGAAACACCTTCATGATATTAACCCTTTCCCCCAATCGAACGAACAATTTGTCCTGAGGTTTACCGCAGGGCGCCTGAGACTGAGCCTCCATGATGGAGCCAAGCAGTGGAGAGGACAATGAAAGGACAGTGGACGCAATGATACATTCCGGGGGAATGATATGGGACGTTTCTTGCTCTAGTATAGCCTCAGTATCAAACTGCCTGGACAAAGCGTCGGCCTTGACATTTTTAGATCCCGGTCTGTAGGTGATAAGAAAATTAAAGCGAGAAAGAAAGAGACCATCTAGCTTGTCTAGAAGATAATCGCTTAGCATCTCCTATGTAAGCCAGGTTTTTGTGATCAGTAATTATCAAAAGGGGGTCCTTGGAACCCTCTAGAAGATGTCGCCACTCCTTGAGGGCTAGAATAATGGCCAACAATTCTCTATTGCCAATATCATAATTGCGCTCAGCAGGAGACAACTTTCTAGAAAAGTAACCACAAGGATGTAACAGAGTTTCCTGGCTTTCCCTCTGGGAGAGAACTGCCCCTACCCCTGTCTCTGAAGTATCAACTTCCAGTATGAAAGGCTTACTGGTGTCAGGATGTATCAATATGTCAGTGGAGGCAAACCGCTGTTTTAGAGTTTCAAAGGCTTCAATTGCCTCCTTAGACCTTATCGTACTACTAGCCCCCTTGCATGTCATACTGGTAGTGGGGGCTATTACTGAAGAAAATCCCTTCATAAATTTTCTGTAATAATTGGCAAAACCAATGAACCTTTAAATGGCTGTCAACCCAGTGGGTAAAGGCCACTGTAGAACAGACTCTAGTTTTTTGGGATCCATCTGAAACCCTGAGGCAGAAATATTATATCCTAAAAACTGTACTTCAGACTGGTCAAAGATACATTTTTCCATTTTACAATAAAGTTGTTTTTTCAATAAAGGTTTGCAGAACTTGTTTAACGTGATCGTGGTGAGACTGGAGGTCAGGAGAATAAATAATGATATCATCCAGATAGACCAAGACAAACGAGTAAATGTAATCCCTGAGTACATCGTTAATGAAATCTCAGAAAACCGCTGGAGCATTGCACAACCCGAATGGCATCACTAGATACTCATAGTGTTCACTTCTGGTATTAAATTCCACTAGTGGTTTTCCTTGATTCTCACTAAATTGTAAGCGCTTCTAAGGTCAAGCTTAGCAAACACTTTAGCACCCTGGAGTCTGTCAAATAATTCAGCAATAAGAGGAATGGGGTAGGCATTCTTAATGGTGATTTTGTTCAACGCCCTGTAAATCGATACATGGGCGCAACTCACCATCCTTTTTAGATACAAAAAAGAATCCTGCACCAGCAGGCAAGGATGATTTTTGTATATGGCCTTTATTCAATGAATCTTTAATATATTCCTCCAATACACTACTCTCCTGAGGAGATAGAGCATAGACTGCTCCCTTAGGTGGCATAGCACCTGGTAGTAAGTTAATGGAACAGTCATATGGTCGGTGAGGAGGTAGAGTATTAGACTGAGTCTTGCTGAATACTTCTTTAATGTCTTGGTATTGTATAGGGATCTTGGGATTTTGAGGTGTGCTAGTGGGTAATTCAAAAGTGCCCACTCTTTTGGTTACATGCAATATGCACCTTTCATTACAATCCTTATCCCATTCTAATTTTTCCCCAGTAGCCCAGTCAGTATGAGGGTTATGCTTTCTAAGCCATGGGAATCCTAATATAATAGGACAAGAAGGAGATGCAATCACCTGAAATTTAATCTCTTCCTTATGTAATGCACCAATGGAAATATTAATGGATAAGGTTTCATGCATTATCAATGGTTGTAAGAGTGGTCTCCCATCAATAGCTTAAACAGCTGGGGGTGATAGTCTCTCTTTGGTAGGTATAGTATTACCTTTGACAAATTGAACGTCGATGAAGTTTCCAGCAGCACCTGAATCCATCAGGGCTTTGCATGAAAAGTTATTTTTGTCAAAGGCGATAGAAATGTCAAGGAGGGGGGCGGGGCCTAACTGCCGAGCAGGAAAGACATTCAGTGAACTAGCTCCTGGTTAAAGCGACTCACTGGGGGATAAATACCCCGATAAACTGAACTAAAATCATCAAAAAAGGCATGCTGCAGGCGGGGGAAACCCAGGGGCATCCAACGACCCCAAAAACGAGAAGCACACTCCCCGGGAACCCTCACAAGCTACTGGGGCCTACTCGAGACCGCAAAGGGGAGAGGCGGCCGCTCTCCTCGACAGCAATGTCACACGCGATACCCTCGACACACGGGCCTCCTACCCCCCCCCCTCATGGACCGGCGGGGGATATCCCGGTCCTCCCTGGACAACAGGGACGGCTTAGCAAGGTCTCACCACAAGATCAAGCAAGCAACACAGCGGGGCAGCCCAGTACAAGACGCATCCAAGATGGTGGCGGACAGAGAAGCCTCCAGCATCATGACGGACACGGAGCTCCGACTAGCCGCGATCTTCAACTCCTTTTGGGAGAAGCTGGAGGCACGTATGCGACCTCCCCTCCCGGACACCCAGACAGAAGTCAAGCTACAATGCCCGGTCCAGGTGGCCGCACAACGGCAAGCTCACAACCCCACAGGCTCCATGCACCCGATGGGCCGGCTCCGAACGGGAGCTATTTTGAGGAAAAACCTCCCCTATAATAACAGCGGCAGCCTAAAACAGACCCAGAGGACCGAGAGAGCGAACAGAACGGTGTACTCAAGCCCCCCTTACCGACAAGCTGCAGACAGCAACAGACATCCCAAGTACTACATGACACCCAACCGGAAGCGGGGACGGCGAGTAACGAAGCCCACAACGGCGGCAACACCGAGCCGGACCAACAACGGCACACATACACAAAAAGGGGCGCCTCCCGAGCACAAACAGCGGATGAGACCAAGTAACACAGGGGATCCCAAACGGGCATGCAAAATACCTCTGGCGGGAGTTGGCTGACCGGGACACTTGTCACCACAGATGAGACAAGCTCCCCACACGTCCCACTGTCTCTATCGCTCTATCTGTGACTATCTCTGACCTATTTCTACTGCATGACTTTAAGATACTCTTACACTATGATTCTCTGAGCTAGTCACAGTAGCGTCTATAATTCGGTAACCCAGGTTCACAATGCGTTTTACCCGTAGTTTAACACTCACCTAATGTTTCACGGTGAATAAGTCTACAAAAGTCAGGGTTAGTTTATGAAGCAGATTTTTGTCTTAATTGCAGCCTAGCCTTAATGTCTAACCCATAGCCCTGATCACATATATTCAGCATGTTAATAACACATTTGTTTTGTTTACTTAACTAAGCATGATGGAGTCCTAACGACATAACTGTCTAGGTAGGCGCACACAGTGAACTCCCTATTAAGGTTGATGCTTTACCTAGCTTAAAATATGAATATTCAATCGTATACTCAGCGTAAAGTTTAAACGTGGACAATCTCGACATAAGTAATTAAAAAATGTGCACGGATTTATGTAGTCCCTATTGTTAAAATGTTGATACTCAGCGTGAGGAATGCTATTGGGGCACCACACGCCTGCTGTTATGGTTTTTCATGCACTGCAAAAATAAAGAATAAAAAAAAAAAAAAAAAAAAAGATTATGTCAAGGAGAAACCTATTTTTATTCTTTTCAGAGGACATTTCCATTACACCCAAGACCTGTCCCCTTAAGGTGCTTAGGTGCGGTAGTTTTCCGGACGTATGGGACAATTGTTTCTCATATGTCCCTTCCTACCGCAGTATAGACATAGGCCTTCTTTTCTCCTATATTGTCTTTCTGCTTCCGACAGTCTAGTTGTCAGGGTACCTGTTGGTGATGTATCCAGGGAGGACATCCTCTCTGCTTAGGGGCTCCCTGCCCCTAGCATTTCGGCATATTCCGGCCGTTTTCGCGCCGGCCGCGCTAGCTCCTCCCCCTTTTATGACGCGACGGCTAGCGTCGACGTCATGACGTCGGCATTTGCATAAAGTGCCGGGAACCGCTATTCCGGACCTTTTGGGGGCGTGGTCTCTATTTAGGTCACAGGATATTTAAAGGAAACCTTTACTACTGCTCATTGCCCTGTCGTGGTTCTAGCTTGCTAGTCACTCAGCGCGTTCTTTATCTTGTATTTCCGGTTTTGACCCTTGCTTGTCTTTTGTCCTGTTGTCCTCTCCTCTCCTTTGACTCGGCTTGTATCTCGCTTACCTGTCCTCCGGCTCCCTTGACCTCGGCTTACCTTTTGACTATTCTTGCTTTGTCCTTACGTTAGTCCGGCCATTCTAAGGTCCGGTATACGTACCTCCTTCTGTGCGCACTCTGCGTATTGGATCCCTGTCAGTTTCCTGACATTACGACAGGGCCATGATGGATCCTGCAGGTGCTAGTCCTCCTGACCCCAGATTTGAGGCCATGGACCATAGAATGGACCAAATGGCTTTAGCATTACAAACTTTGTTGACACGCTCCAGTACCCAGTCTGAAGAAATACGTTCCACTGCTAGCCACTCGCTAAGTACTGGTTTGGAAGTAGCCACTGTAGGCGCATCTTCCCATGTCACGTCACCATTACGATATGGGGGTTCGCCTGATGCTTGTCGTGGTTTTTTAAACCAGATAAGTATACATTTCGAACTACAACCCCGGCTTACCCCACTGACAGGGCTAAGGTAGGCTTTATCATAACCCTGCTAATAGATAAAGCACTTAGATGGGCCAATCCCCTTTGGGAGAATGACAATCCTTTAGTCTACAACTACACTGCGTTTGTCACGGCTTTTAGAAGAACCTTTGACCCCCCAGGGAGGAAGATTAATGCGGCCAGATCCCTGTTACGCCTTAAACAACAAGATAGGACCCTTGTAGAATATGCTCTAGAGTTTAGATCATTGGCAGCAGAAGTGAAATGGAACGAACAAGCTTTTATGGATGTTTTCTTGAATGGGTTGTCTGATGAAATTCTAGATGAAATTGCCACTAGAGAACTTCCGGAAAATTTAGAGGATTTAGTATCCTTCATTTCCAGAATAGATGAACGCATGAGACAGAGGCAGAACACTCGGGAAAGAGTTACTAGACTTCCTGTAAGACTCGCTCCCTCATTTCAGAACCCTGACTCCTATAATCCTACTCCACCAGAACCTATGCAAATAGGTAATACTCGCTTATCTGAGGCTGAGAGACAGTACAGGAGAAGGGAGGGTCTCTGTTTATACTGCGGGCTGAGAGGTCACCTACGTCTTAGTTGCCCTAATCGTCCGGGAAACGCTTGCACCTAAGTTCCCTTAGAGGACGGGCCTTGGGTGTTTCATTACTGTCCTCTATGCATAATAAAAAAGACCATAGGCTTCTGATTCCTGTCTCTCTAGCTTGGGAAAAGGGGTTTATTGCTACGATGGCATTATTAGATTCTGGAGCAGCAGAAAGCTTTATAGACCAAACTTTCGCTAATAAGCATTGTATCCCATTCCAATTGAGAGATACACCCTTGGCCGTTGAGGCCATAGATGGTAGACCTTTATCTGAACCAGTAATATTCCATGAGACCGAACCCGTTAAGCTTACTGTTGGTATTTTCCACGAAGAGTTGATTTCCCTTCTGTTAATTTCCTCCCCGGCAGTCCCAGTGGTTCTAGGATATTCTTGGCTCAAGAGACACAACCCTCAGATTGACTGGGAGGGTGGAGAAATCGTTTCTTGGGGTATGGGTTGTAGGAAAGAATGTCTGCAGAGAGTTACTTCTGTTTGCCCCGTAAACTCTTATGCTAACACTTCTCAATCCACAGACGTTCAGATACCATTACAATATCTAGACCTCAAATCTGTATTTGACAAGGGTAAGGCGGATACTTTACCTCCCCACCGGTCTTATGACTGTTCTATTAAACTTTTCCCTGGTACTATGCCTCCCAGGGGTACGGTATACCCTCTATCCACCAAGGAAAACTTAGTTTTAGAGGAATATATCAAGGAGAATTTAGACAAGGGATTTATTAGAAAGTCTTCTTCTCCGGCGGGGGCGGGTTTCTTTTTTGTAGAAAAGAAAGACGGTACCTTACGTCCTTGTATAGACTATCGGGGATTGAACAAAATTACTATCAGAAATGCTTACCCTATTCCTTTGATTACTGAACTCTTTGACAGACTAAAGGGCTCGAGTATTTTTACTAAACTTGACTTAAGAGGAGCATATAACTTAGTGCGAATTAAACAAGGAGATGAATGGATGACAGCATTTAATACCCGTTACGGGCATTATGAGTATACCGTAATGCCATTTGGGCTCTGTAACGCCCCGGCCGTCTTCCAAGACTTGATCAATGAAGTTCTTAGAGAATTCCAACATGAATGTGTAATTGTATATTTGGATGATATACTAATCCATTCTAGAGATATTAATTCACATCATAGACAAGTCAGAAAGGTATTACAGAAACTTTTACAACATGGATTGTATTGTAAATTGGAAAAATGTAGCTTTGACCAGTCTCAGGTAACTTTCTTAGGTTACGTAATTTCCAAAGACGGGTTTATGATGGACCCGACCAAACTAAAATCGATTTTAGATTGGCCTTTACCTAAGGGACTCAAAGCCATACAAAGATTTCTTGGATTTTCTAATTATTACAGACGTTTTATTAAAGGGTACTCCTCTGTTATCGCTCCTATCACTAATATGACCAAACAAGGAGCCGATACCAAAACCTGGTCTACTGAGGCTTTATCTGCTTTCGAAACGCTCAAACAGTCTTTTGCCTCAGCACCTGTATTAGTTCATCCTGATACCTCTCTACCCTTTTTACTTGAAGTTGATGCGTCTGAAACAGGGATAGGCGCAGTGTTATCCCAACGACAAAGTTTAGATAAGCCGCTGCACCCATGCGGTTTTTTTTCCAAGAAACTATCACACACTGAAAGGAGATATGACATTGGTGATAGGGAACTTTTAGCTATCATTATGGCATTAAAGGAATGGAGACATTTGTTAGAGGGCACCGTCCTTCCAGTTACTATCTTGACTGACCACAAAAATTTATCGTATATGGGGGAGGCCAAAAGATTATCTGCCAGGCAGGCACGTTGGTCTATGTTCCTTACACACTTTAATTATGTGCTTACTTACAGGCCTGGTTCTAAGAACACTAAGGCAGACGCTTTGTCACGTCAGCACGAACCTACCACCTCTACAGAGGATACTTTGTTCCCTATTATTCCTGAAGTCAATATTATCGCCAACACCAATGTCAAAATACACTCTCCACTGCTCGCTGATATTCAGAACGAACAATCTCTTGCTCCCGAACGTACTCCTGTGGGCCGCTTGTTCGTGTCTCCCAAATTCCAAGTGGACATTATTCGCTGTTTCCACGATAGCAAGATCGCTGGTCACCCCGGCATCCACAAAACTTACTGTCTGATCTCCAAAGACTTCTGGTGGCCCGGTTTACGTAGGGATGTGGAAGACTTTGTCAAGGCTTGCAATGTTTGTGTCAGGAATAAACTTCCGCGGGATCTCCCTTGTGGTTTATTGCAGCCCTTAGTCGTTCCCAACAAACCTTGGGCTTGTTTGGCTATGGATTTTATTGTTGATCTACCAGCTTCCAATAGGCATACAGTTATCCTCACGGTCCTTGACAGGTTTACTAAAATGGCTCATTTCGTTCCCTTGCCTAAACTTCCGTCCTCCCCCGAACTGGCCGTGATATTTGCTAGAGAAATTTTCCGTTTACATGGTATTCCCAATGAGATTGTGTCAGACAGGGGTTCCCAATTTATTTCCCGTTTTTGGAGATCCTTCTGTTCACAGTTGGGCATCAAACTGAATTTTTCTTCGGCCTATCATCCTCAATCTAACGGAGCAGCCGAACGCACTAACCAAAAAATTGAGCAATATCTACGTTGTTTTGTTTCTGAACACCAGGATGACTGGGTCGGTCTGATTCCTTGGGCGGAGTTTGCTCACA